ATCATAGAAATAGTTGTCTTTGCCATAGCACACCTGTCGAAGCTTGGTACAGCTTGATGGGTCCTGGGACTGTGCCCCTTCCAAAATCTGTAGTGCACGTTCAATAAGTCTGCAGTGTAAATCCAAGAGTGCATTTCCATTACAGCCCAGAGAACATGGGGCAATAGAAAGGCTGTGTGGAAGGTGCCTCATAGGTGGGAGACAGTGAGTGATGGAGGATTACATGATGGTAGGGAACTAACTGGACCCCTTAATGGTTCATTTCCCAACTTAAGGTCTTATTGAAGGAGTGGGATGGCATCTAGAATACCCAGTTTTCACGTGATAGCTAGATTCCAGCAACCTGAACTCTCTAGCTGCATGCCTTGTAGGGGAATGCATTTATCACTGCCACCCACAAAAGCACTGGACGAGAGGGACCCAGCAGAAGTGCATTGCCTCTCTACTCAGTCAGCAATCAATAGATCTCCCCACAAAGCCTGAGCCAAAGCTCACTGAAGCCAGTGGAAATCAGGGACCTTGGATAAGGTCCAGAGAAAGGACGGACATTTCTCTTTCTGCTCAGTTTCTAGTGTTATTGTTGCTGGACACTGATCCAGACACTGATTCCTCAGGTTCCCACTTTTTAGTTCCCCTCTCGCTGCCACTTTTATCACCCCGAGAGGACCGAGAACCCTGTGGGAAGAGTGCTCCTGCGTCAGGGAAAGGCAAGAAGCTCCGTCTCGGGTGTTAGATGGACGTGGCCCTGCCCTGTCCCTGCCTTCATTGCCTGCTAGCCCCAAGGATCACTGGGGCCCAGGGGGAGCATGATGGGGTTTCCACATGCTGTCACAGCACCATGTCAGGGGTGAGGAGGCACACAGCGAGCTGGCTGTGATCCTCGCTTTGCTTGCTATATCGTGTAAGGTTGTTGCCACAGCAGTTGGCTGTCAGGGACTTTCAGCAGAAACAAAACAAGGAAACAAATTCAAACTGCTCCAGCTTCTCTGGCTGGGTGCCCTTTGCAAAGTGGGGGAGCGTGCGTGGCTTAGCACAAACATTGAGTATAATCCTGTTGACAGCAGACTCACCTCCCTCACACAGCCCCCTGAGAAATGCCCGTAGCTGGCAAACCACTTGGTGTCATGCGTCAGATTCCTGCAGGAGCAGCCAGCATCGCTGTGCTGGCCAGATAACCCCATGGGATCTTTTCCCTCTAGCTATACTGTCCCATGTCCTGTATTTATATATCTACGGTCCCAAACCTAGCTTCTTCCCATCTCACTTTCTCACTCCTACATCCAGTCGCATGACCTCCATCCCTGCCGAACCCAGCTGTCTAATCTATGTCATGAAAGCAGAGGGACTTGAAAGCACCCAGGACCAAAACAAATGGCTCAGAGGTTGCAGCAACGCCTGGCTCTCTGCAAGAACAGGAGGGCATGGGTACAGCCACAAAGGTGACTGCCAGGAGTTCCACTGTGCTCCAAACCTGCCACCAGGCATGGGCTGCGCTGTCCGGCACTCCCTGCTTGCTGAATGCACAGTTCAAGTCCATTGATCTCTCTCCTTCCACCCCAAAAGAGAGGAGTGCTCTTTCCTCCTGCTTGTTACTGTCTTTGAACATTATTTGTTGACTGCTGAGTGGTTAAATGGTTGTGGCAAGTGTGCAGCACTCTGCCTGCGCCTCCACTGAGAGAAACCCAGGAGCATGGCTTACCACGAGGCTAAGGGTGCTCTGAGGAGGGGCCATATGAATCTTCAATTCCAGCTGGCAGAGACTAGGAGCACCTTGCCTTGTGATTCAGAGAAGCGTGATGCTACACACATGTACGCACACACTTTTTAAGTTCCCAACACATGCACCAGCCCCAGTGTGTGCTGGGGGCTCTTGCTTTCAGGCCCTGCAGTAACTTTGCAGTTAATTCGCTCACATGAACTATAGGGCGTGAATGCATCCAAAACTAGGGGCTCTTGAGAAGGGCGCAGACAGTCTGACCTCCCCTTTGCCCCAATGCAGGGCCAGAAAGGGAGGTGCGAAGGCTCTGGAATTGCATCCCTTATGCAGCCTCCTTGTGAAGGTCAGGCCAATTAGCTGCGTCTCTTTCCCCTTTAGAGCACCAGGGAGCGAGGCTGCCGGTTGAGAAAGGTCAGCAAGGCACAGCACATGTAATTGGGCACAACAGTGCACGTGCCGGCTCAAGCATTTAAGTTGAGTGCTCTTGTCTGCTCCTGCGGGGGAATACAGAATACCACGTGGCATGCAAGGAGATGTGCCAGACAGCTTGTTTCTAAGCCTCTTTCTTACTCCCTCTCCGGTTTCAGCTCTTGAGGTTTTGTCCACATTGCTTGAGCCATTGCAGGGGGGCAAGGAAACACCCTGAAAAACCCCCATCTCATAGAGCTAAGAAAGTCGCTTTAAAGCAGCACAAGGCACCCAGCCCTAACATGCCTGAGGTACCCTGTCTCAGGCATGTTTGCTAGCTTCCATGTAGCACAGCTCCACAGCAGTTTTATAACCTCACCAGGGCTTGGTGCACTTGGAGCAGGAGGACACTAGTAGGAAACCCTCCATGACAACACTCAGGACAAAGCCTAGGGACAGCATAGACACAATCTGGGTTTCTAGGATGGTGCTACTCAATCTGGACCAGCTACACTGGTGCAGTCTGGCCTGCCCTTTGTGCATTTGTACCTCCCCTTCATTAAGCAGCTTGGCCTGCCAATGGATCTCTACACATTGAAGCTGAACGGTTGTGAGCGCTTGCTGTAGCTGTCACTGCCAGCATGAACAAACACTGGAGAAGGAAGAGCCTGTGATCACCAAAAGTGGGAGATTGGTGCATGGTGGGTGTTTAATGCAACAGGAACTGTTAGGGTGGTGGCACCTCCACTTCAGAAACCCTGTCCAACTACTAGACTCTTCTTCCCCAAGTCCACAAGGCAGCATCCCATGCTACCTATCAGGAGAGTGGAGACCAACCTTTTTGGCAAATGCACCACAAATTAGCCCCACACCCTCCCCAAGTGCTATTCTGATTTCCTTCTCTGGCCTGATCTGCTGCTCTTTCTGCTCCCAGCTGTGTTCCTAGCCCCATCTGCTGCTCTATTTTCTACTTCTTTCCTCATGTTCCCTGCCCAATTTGCTGGTTTGCTTCCTGCTCTATCTGCCACTGTGCTGCCTGTTCCCTCCCCAGTCTGCCATGGGGCGCACACAGACTGTCTGAGTCATGTGTGCCACAGTTTGGCCACCAGAGTTAGGAGACTGGTTTGCCTCCCAGCACTTAAGTCCTTTTCTACCTGAACCACCTTCGCAGCATCTTTCACTGAAGAGTTTTGTAGCTACAACTACACCAGGATGCCATGGCCAAAGTACATAGCTCTGTGTTTTTGCCTGCATATGCAAACCTTTCCTCAAGACAATTTACATTGATTCTTTGTGAAAGCCTTTTTCCTGCAGTCTGCCTTAAATTTGGTTGGACAATGACCTTAAATTACAAACACTCCCCACCCAAAACTGGAGAACACTTCCTTAGCTAAGCAGTACCAAGGCTTATCATCACAGAGGCTATGACTAGCGACTACGCAGGTGTCAAAGCTGATTTACTTTTTCCTATTGCTTAGAGATCACACATCTTTAGTTATGACACAGAGGTATAACTAGCTTGTGGCAAATGTAGTATTATTCCTGAGTGTCTAGTGCCCCCTACTGACTAAGTATGTATTACTAGTGAATTATGTATTACATAATTAGAAATTAAATATGTATTACTGGCTAAGTATGCATTACATCCTGCTTACCACTAAACAACTTCAAGGAAAACAGACTATTCCAACTTTTTGCCAAGCCTAATCTGCATAGAAAATGAACTGTTCCAAACAGGAGATTCTACCACACCTTCAACTCTCCTGTGAAATATGAACTTCCGTTTCTACCCAAGAGAACTTTTACAATCTTTTCTCCGATGCTTGATGAGGGGTGTTTGTGCCCTAAAGCTTGCAATTGCCCTTTTTTTTTTTTTTTTTGCAAAAATCTAATTGGTCTAACAAAAGATATCACCTCTACCATGAGTCCTGATTGCTTATTACTAGTGAAGTCATTTTATAATCCACCTGAGTTTTTCTTTTTTGTCTGATCACTTTCTAGAACAGTGGAAAGCAAACTTTTTGGCAGGTATGCCACAAATTAAGTCCCATGCCCTCCCAAATGCCACGCTGATCCCCCTTACCGCTCTGCTGCTCTAGTTTCTGCTTCCTGCTCTGTGCTGCCTGTCCCTTCCCTCGTCTTCCACATGCCACACAAAGGCTGTCCATGCTGCAGATGGCCACCCGTTCTAAAACACAGCTTAACTTCCATTGAACTCACATGGGCTTCATTGCTTTGAAAAGGCTTGAAGCATGAAGGACTTCAAGTCCCTCACTCAGGAGTTTCACAAAGTATGGATGGATTTGTAGGCGGGGGGATTCATTCTGCAAACATCTATCATTGTATTTGGGTCATGCTACCTTGAGCCCTTAAACATAAAAACCCCAAACAGCAAGTCTATGGGATACACTCATGAGTAAGGAGAAAGCAGGAGGTTCCTGCCAGTATGAGGGGAGGAAGCCCTATGTACACAAAGGCTGCACCACGTGGTTTGCAGCAGTTTCTCCTTATCTGCCTTTCCACTTGGACAGAGGGAGGTAGGGAACAGCTCTAGGGTCACCAGGCCAGAAGCTGCAGAGGCTTCCAGTTGGGGGCGGGGGACGGGAGGGGAGGAGGGTCTGAGGGCAGGTGCAGCCAGGTGGGCTTTGCTGCTCAGCCACTGGCTCCCCCTGGGTCCGGTTTCCCCTGGCATCTGTCATCTTTGACAGGCAGCCAGGGGCAGGTAAAAATTAAAATTTTCTAAAATGTTTACAGGCCCCGCAGGCTAGATAGAATGGCCTGGCAGGCTGGATCCGCCCTGCGGGTCATATTTTGCCCACCCCTGCATTAGGGGGACCTGAGAGAAACTTCCCTCTCCATCTGAAACTCCACTAGATCCAGCAGTACCACCATATATTTTATTTTATACAAACCAAAAACCTTCTGATAGCCTAGGAAACATCAAGAAGATATTTACTAGAGCATCTGAAATGCAAAGTATGGCCTTTTCCTGCCATGAACTCTAGTTAAAAAAAAGAAAAGGGAGGATCCCTCCTGTTTAACCCCCACACTGGAAGTTCACTCCATGAGTAGGAGGTTAATACATAGCAGGGTCATCAGTTTCTTCTAGAACTCTGGAACTCTGATAGAAGCATCCTCAGCGATAGCAGCAGCCACCAGCATGGGTTCCCTTAGGATGGTTTCAGCCAGGAGCAAGAAGGTAGGGAAGTGAGGTTACTTGATGCGATAGAGGACTTTGCGTTGCAGGCGGTGCTGGATCTCGCCACGGCGCATCATGAGCTGCAGCACTTTGTAGATGGCATGCTCAGGGTATTTCTGGAAGAATGGTAGAGGAGAATGACACAGCCCTCTGAACCTGCTGAGTTCATGCAATGCTTCCCTACCAAAGCCAGCTGCTATGGCAGCTGAGCCAGGAAAGCTCATCATAATCCAGTGAAAAATCTTTACATTAAAAGTCATGTAAGACTGCTGGATGTGCACCTGCCACTGAGAAGGGGTCTTGTAGTACAGGAGAAACTCTTCTCAGTTCATCCTATCGTAATTCTGACTTTTCTGGTTGGAATGGAAGGTACAGGAGGACCCAGAGCTGTGTTCAGGTATTCTGGGTTCCTGAGACCCATCAAGAAGCCCCACATACAGTATTCAAGAGTGGAGAATATCTACTCCCCACTTTCCCAGAATGCCAACCAGCCCCTGCCTCTCTGGTTTCACACAAGCACCAGAAGGGCCCTATTCACATTTCAGAAAAGGAGCCTCCATACTCTTAAGTTGCCTTGCAGTCAGCCAGTTGTTCTCATAGCCCTTCGGACTGCCCCACCAAGGAGTGTCCCTGTCCAGTGGACCCACCTGTTTCACAAAATCCTGGACTATACTGTGTTCTGACACCTGAGAGCCAATGGCGAAGCGGCGCTTGAGCTGTCTTTCAATTCGGGACAGCAACTCTTGGTCTTCCTGGGTTGTGAAGCCCTCCGCTCCTATGGAAAAGATACTCGATGAGATCCTTCAAAATTTTACTTTCCATGTGACCTCCAGTCCAGCCCTACCCACACCAAATGAAAGAGGCAGAGTGCAATCCCACAGGTGAGAAAACTTCAGTAGTTACTGAGCTCCACTTCCACGTTCAAGTTGAAGCCTCATCATTACAGCTTAAAAAAAAAAAAAAAAGTCAGACCCCTCTGCAAATCTTAATAGGTAACAAACAGTATTTTCAACAGTAACAGCATGCTCAAAAGGATAAGTTACATGAATCCAGGCTTCACTGGGGAATCTGGCCTTTACAATCCACCATCCTGGACTTTTCCAAGCTAGGTAACACCCAGGCTTGCCATTTCCTTTTCCAGGGCACTTATGAGAGTCTAAGCTCCCTCCCCAATTACATAAGTGCATTTGTCACTGCCTAACCCTCCCTCTGGACCATGACCATGCAACTAGGCATGTCTCAAAATAAATGAGGAGCCCTGGCTGCCAGATGCATCATCCTGCCTCTCTTGAAGAGCATTCATGGCCACCCAGCATTGTCAGGAGAGAGGGGTTAGGGTCACCATCAGGCCTCCCCCCTCTCCTCCCACACAGCACCATACTGGAGAGGTGGCATTTGTTTGTTTTCCCAGAAGACCTCACCACAGAAACCTCTGTGTGAGAATGGAGGTTGCACCCATGCCTGGTCTGCCTCACCTGACAGGCTGCCTGACATGGCCGCATCAAGAGTGGACACTTGGAAGAGCCGCAAGGCTTCTTCAATGTCTGCCTCGGTGGCAAACGGCTGCAGCTTCATCTTGCCGAGGGACTCTGCAATCCGCACAATGGCCTCCAGCTGCCTGCCACCCAAAGAGAGAAACCCTTTAAATGAGGTTATTGTGGGTCCTCTACTCACTTGCACTTGTATTCACCCGTCAGGGAATTCCTCAAGCCACAAAGTGCTCACTGCAGGCATCCCTGAGGCAGTGCTAGGGCGGTCAGTGATCCTTTCAGGAAGAGGGCATCACATCCCCCACACACACTCACCCCTACAAAAGGGAATGCTACCATTATACAAGAGCTTGCAGAGCCCAGGCCTGTCACTGCTGAGTCCTAGTGTCTCCAAGATCTTCCCAAGCACTTGATAGTGGAGCAAAGCTAGCATTAAGCAGACAGTGATAGTTCAGACCACCATTATATACTAGGGATAGAATAGGAAAAGCAATTCTAACCAGAAGCAGCCTTCTCTGCTTGCCAGAGAATAGAGTCCAAACTGCAGTCTAGACCATCTCTGCATCACTGACAAATACATAGTTGGGGCTGTTCCCTGTAAAGCTCTTTGTGGTCGTAAATAAAAGGACATCAATTGCATGACCCTTAGGCTGGAAGAAATAACCTTAAGGACAGACAAGTCAGCAGAGGTGGGAACAAAGGAGAGAAGCTGCCGTCTACTGGAGTTAAGCTCTTAGAAGACCGAGCTCAGGTGGCTTTAGCAGGGTTTAACTCAGTGCAGGCCTGGACATCAGTCTGAGCCTCCTCCATCCTCCAGGTGATTGTGTGGCACTGGGACAAAAGCCATTTTCCTTTTGCAGCATTATTCAAAGCTCCTGGGATTCACATTCCTTTTGCTTCCCACCCTGAACCCAGGTGGACTTTGCCCTCACCGGACTGTAATGGGGATACTGGATCGGCGTTCACTCTCTCGCTCATACTGCCGGGCACCAGCACGCATCAGGACATAGCGGTTTTTCAGTTTCTCAGCAGCCTCTGCTGACAGGCGAGGGCCGCATTTCCTGCGAGAAGGAAAGGGGAAGCTCTATGAACCAGCAAGTTCTGGGGCCAAGGCACCAGGTTAGCCCCCTGCCCACACTTTAAGACAGTGTTGTGGGGGGCTCTCCCTCTTCCACAGCAAACCAGAACAGATTTGTGAAAATCCAGCCTAGTTTAAATCTCAACTCCACTGGGAAAAAAAAATAAAGCTTCAATTGGGTGACAATTTCAAACAGAGATTAGGGGTGACCATATTATCACTGGGATCACAGGCTAGAAAAGGACTGATCTTTTTAGGGCAGTGGTTGCCAGGCATTTCCCCATTGTGACCCCACTTTTAGTCAGATAATTCAGTGCAACCCCAACATGCAGTTACTGCTGCTCACATATGCACAGCTAACAATGAGTGGGAATTTGCTGAACCTCAGCTGCTCTGTGGTAACTGTCCCTGCGTGAGAACTACACCAGAGTAGCTTATACCCAAGTGAAAAAGGGCTTAGTTGCCCCAGTCCAGCTTTCACCTATTTTAGGGGCAACTGCAGGCACAGAAGCAGTTACCGCAGAACAGCTGTGATATGTGGTAAATCCCTGTATCATTATTCATGGAGTAACTATGGAGTTGGAAAGCTTAAAATAGGCTCACAATTCCACTTCCCCACTCTGCTTGGGGTTGTGATCCCCAGTGAGCGACCTGCTGCACTGGGGGCTTACTGGAGAGCTGGAATTCTGCCAGCCCCATTAAAGAACTGGGTCAGCCTGAGGCCAAGATCAGTGAAGTCAAATGAAGCGACCAGGGTCCAGAAATGCTGGGAGCAACCCGAAGTCCCAACTGAAAGCACATCAGCATGGCACCACCAAGCAGGTCATGCTGTGTAACCTGCCAGCAGTTCTGCTGCTCTGACACAGCATCATAAGGCTACCACACACTTACGTGCGACAGTAGGAGATGAACTTCTTCAGCTTGTTCAGGTCGATTTCACCCTCCACAGCCTGGGTCTGCGTCAGGGCACTCACGTGTAGTGACATCACGTGCTTGGCCAGTATCTAGGAGCAGAGCAACGGAGACCGTTGAACAATGAAAACTCTCTCACTCATGGCATGACCTAGACATTCACCCCAGGGTAAGGCAGAACAAGCCAGTCAGGGCAGCACATGGGCACTGCTGTTCTCAACCTCCACCTCAAGTCTTTGGGTCCTACCACTTTTATGGCAGAAAGCAGCATCATCTCTGTGGGCAGAACTAGGCACCACAGAAGACACCTTTGGCAGACCCTGGAAGACATAATTCAACTACTTTTCCTCTCCCCAGCTCTCAGGCTATACTATGTGGTGCTTGTCTTGCTAAAGCAGGGCAACAGGTCCCAGCTTAGAAGTCAGAGACTGAGGCATCTTGGGTCAACTAACTGCTTGACACCAGGCACACTGGGGCAGGAAGGCAGACCCTTGCCTTCCCCCCTGTCCTCGTCACATGATCAGCTGGGAAACTCCTAGGTGGTCAGCCTGCTGTCTTCTTGTCCCTCCACCTCCCTCCACTGAGAAAGACCAGTTCTGGCCCTCACCATGTCTCTCTCCTCATTGTGCTCATCCTTGACAATGAAGATCATGTCAAACCGGGACAGGATGGTGGGCATAAAGTCGATGTTTTCCTCCCCTTTAGTCTCATCCCAGCGTCCAAAGACCGAGTTGGCAGCTGCGAGTACCGAGCAGCGAGAATTCAAAGTGGTAGTAATACCAGCCTGAGGGGGCAGAACCAAGAGCTTAATCAACACAACCACCATACTGTTAGCAGAAGATACTGGGGTTACCAGCAGCTTCCTGGGATGGATGATGGGGTAGGGGAAGGACATTCACCATTTCCTCTACCTTACAGGCAAGGGCCTAGTTGGTTCATAGGATTCCTACTTTCACCCTTACAGACACCAGCCTTTAAATAAGGCGGTGTAAGTGTTTTCCAACTGGCTAAGCGGGTTCAATACTGGAAGAAGTTTCCAGGGTTAACAACACGAGGGAGGGATTATTCAGTTACATAAGCCTCATGGAGTTTTCCTTGACCAAGATTACCCAAAGCTTGAGCCATAATTGATACACAGTGCCCTCAGAGCAATAGGTGCTATATGAGCAGGTAGAGACAAATCTCCTGCCCTGAAGTGTCTACCATGTAAGCCAACTACCTGCAGGTTAGGGAATGAGAACCAAGCAGCACACGATGGCCATGCAGTGGGTACTGCTTAGTCCAGGTGTCTTGCACTATTTGGATAGCTGCAGCTACTTTCTAGGGCTTGGCTTCTCTTGGGGAAAAGTGAGTTCTCAGAAGAGACAAGGAGAAGACGGGGGGGAAGTGCGAGAAAAGAATATGTTTGAGGCTTAAGAGAACTCAGGGAAAGAGGCCTGAAGGATACAAAAGGGGAAGCCAGTCACACTGTTCAGACAAACCCAAAAGATGAACTGAGGCAGGCTGGGCAGGAAAGGAGAAGAGCAGAAATTGGATTCACTTTGCAAGGGCAAGCCAGACAATGGAACTCAAGAGGGGCAGCTGCAGTGCGAGTACAGGAAGAACTGTGTTCACCATGGTGTTTTGTGAGGAATGAAGAGGTAAACAATGAGTCAGAGATGCCCAGGATGAGGAGGAATGCTATGACAAAGGGCGAATGGTGAAGAGAAAGAGAATAGATGCAGCCTGGAGATTATGCAACATGGAGAAGAAAAATGATCTGAACAACAGAATCAAGGTTTAGAGCAGAAGGAGGAACAGGGGTGGGGAGGAAGGGAGGAAGAAGCAGAGCATAGACCTGCTAATGGTAATGGAGCTGAGGGGAGGCAAAGGACGATGGCCAGCGTGTATTTGTATGACAGTCTGAGTGCAAGTCTCAAGATTAGTAGGATCAAAACACTGTCAGAGAGCAAAGCTTGATCTGGGATCAGACCAGCCAGTAACCCACCCATGCCTAAACATGAGCAGGGAACCCAGCTACTTCCTGAGGGATGGCCACCTTCTGGCAAGGGCCCACAACTGCAGAGCTGGACACCCTGCTTGTGGAGAGACTCAGCTCTCTTCACCTCTTCCACTTTCTATCCCAGTTAGCAGCTCACCTTGGCAATGGAGATGGTCTGTTGCTCCATAGCCTCATGGATGGCCACTCTGTCATCCTCCCGCATCTTGGTAAAGTTTGGGGAAGAAAAAAGAGGTAGAATGGTACACCTTTCATGTGACTTAACCTCACAACAGAATTGGGATTGAATGCCAAGAAAGTCTCGGGTCACACACAGCCATGTGCATCCAACACTCCCTACTTCCTCCAGGATACTAATTTTGAGTACATTAAAAATAAGAGAGAGACTCAAAAGTTATCCCAGAAGTGCATTTCCTGGCACCCCTTTTGATGCCCTGTCTCTCCAGTAGACAGGCCTCCATTCAAAAGAAAAGATTATCCCTTCCCCCCTTGCCTTCTGGCATTATTCCTTTCCTTGCCACAGCAGAACAATACGGCAGTCAACCTTCCCTTCCTTTCCTCCTCCAAGTCAACATTATGAAACCTCTGCATGCTGTGTCTCTACCTTGTCAAACTCATCGATGCACACCACTCCCCCATCTGCCAGGACCATGGCTCCTCCCTCCATAAAGAAGCTCCGGGAAGAGGGGTCTCGGATCACTGAGGCTGTCAAGCCAGCTGCACTGCTGCCTTTCCCAGAGGTGTATACCTGAAGGGAGGCACAAAAAGAGAATGCATCAAAAACCATGGCGCCCTTGATCCTGTGCATCTCAACAAGGGAACAAAAGAACTACAGCAACAGGTTGTTGCCTTGAGGCAGAGCTCAGCATTCACAGTTCAGCACAGCATCAGCCATAGGCTATTGGGAGCTCCATGGCTACTGCTTCCTCAGCTTACACTGAAGCCAGGGACTGACATTCTTCAGAGCAAGGTATTTTTGTGCAACTAGGCTTCGGGCTAAGTAGTTGCAAAGCACTAGATGGCTTGTAGGCAGACAGTGCAGTAGATCTAGAGCACAGTTTATCTGCTTGTTTTAGCAGGCTGCAGTGGGGTGTTTGTTTTACTCTGAGGATGCAAGGTGCTCAGGTGTTGTGTTAGTGGAGACTATAGACAAACATGGATGAAAACAATTTCATGCTTGGTCTCCGTTTAGAGCTCAGTGCCTGACAGCTGCAGTCTAAGCTACTGCACCTAACCTTCTAGCTTCTCTGCTAATTCAGTTTGTTACATGCAGCTCAACACAGCTTGAACAATACCTTAGGGTAGAAAGAAGTTCAGGACTTCAGACTTTCAGTGAAACATTTTGACAAAATGACAGCTATGCTCTGAAGAATGACCCAGCAAGAATGTCCCATGGGTTGTTCTCAGATTTGCCCACTCCGTACAAGTCTCTCTTGCTTAGCAGAAAAAGTCTGCATATCCACCAACTCCACCCCACCTACCAGGTACTGCTATGGAGGTTCAAGATGGTTTTTGTTCTGCACCATGAACCATCTCCAGTATTTCCAGCTGGTTCCTGTTCTCAGTGCCACTTGAGAAAAAGTGAGCTGTTTCAACATGCAATCAGCATCAAAAAGGAACTCCAGTCACCCATGACACTTACCCCAATGGGTGAACACCTCTCTACAAACTTCAACAGCTGGGACTTGGCTGTGCCAGGGTCTCCCAACATCAGCAAGTTAATGTCCCCTCGGCGGGTTAATCCATCTGGGAGCCTGCAAAGACGACAAGAGAGGGAAATCAGCTCTTGTTCTGGCAGCGTGCAAATAAACCAAAATTGCCAACAAGAAACATACAGCTGTTTGGAGCCATAAAACCCCTAGAAGGGTTGTGTGCCTCAAATACCCTTCTGTCTACTTCTGCCCCACTGTGCCCTGCCCAATTTGTTCCCCTGACCTCTTGCGGGAGCCTCCAAACAGCAAGCAGGCAATTGCTTTCTTGATGTCAGTGCTGCCATAAATAGAGGGTGCAATGCTCTTGGCAACAGTCTCATAGATGTTGGGCATGGAGGCAAGTCGGCGAAGTTCCTCCTCTTCTTGGGGAGTCACAGAGCCAGCAAAAGTATGGCCTAAAAGACGTGATGGAGGAGAAGAAAAAACTGAATGAAGTGTCATTACGAAACAAACAGACTAAGCCTGAATGGCTGCTTCATCCTTCTCCAAAACCCAATTCCCTCACACAGTAGCCATGATACTTTAATAGGACTATAAGCAAGGTCACAAGGAAAAGGAGCATTAATTAACTAGACACAAGAGGGAAGAAAATTTGTCACAAGCAGCTGAGTGCGCTCCTCTGAATGAGGAAACTGCATGCCTTTGCTCTGTTCTAAAATAAAGAGGCAACAGTGCTGGCTCAGCTGATGGCAAATGGCCTCTGAAAAACGTGACCAAAGAGAAGAAAGAGAAAGGAGCTCTGCGTCTAATGTGGGAAGATGGCTCATGCTGGAGGGACAAAGAGAGGTTCTGGCCTAGAAAGTCATGCTTTTGGGGGTGAGGGGAAGAACTGACAGCTGAACAAAAAACGAGGGCACCTTTATGTACTCTGATGGATTTTAGCAGTTCCCTACTCAATAGAGCAGTAGTTCAACCTTTTTCATACCAGGATCCATTTGCAAAGATCACCGTTTTGTCCCAACCCACATCCCCCCTGGCCCTGCCAACCTGAGTCACAGTCCCCTGCTCCGCCACAGCCTTGGTGCCCATATATATAGGGTAAATTTGTACCTTATAAACCAGGCAAAGTGTGTATATCTGAGGTGCAAATCCATGCTGCCTTCAGCTTGACTTCAGACTAACAAGGCTAAGGACAACTCTCTGACTTCAGCCTCACCAGGCAAATGGCTTGTGGTCCTCAACCCTTCTGGACTCCCATGTCTCCCTCACTGGACTTGAGGCTACATGGCCCCATAACTACAGATGCCAGCACCTAACTGCTTGCAGAGGGGCCCAGCTCTGGGGATAAAGGATTGCCCAGGCTGGGAGAAGCCAGAGCCTGTGCTTTTTGACTTAATTGATCTGCTCGTTTATCCCCTAACACCCAAGGGTGTCCCTGGCTGGGACTCATTGCTCTAGGCTGCTGGAGACACCCTCAGGGCCTCAGCTAGTAGCACAAAGTGGCCAGTGGCACGGGCCGGGCCCTGCTGTCACAGAACCAGAGCTGCTGCTGCCAGGGGAAGGGAGTGAGCGGGCCCCTGCGGCAAAGCCTTGGTTGGGCATTACTGAATGCTAATTGTAGCCAGCCGGGGAGCGAGAGTCAGGGTTCTGCAATGAGCTGCCTGCCCGAGCTGATCTCTGCACAGTCAGTGGGAGCAAGAGGGGCAACCAAGCCCTCTTCTCCATGGAGAGTGCTGAGGCTGCGCAGCCTGTAAGGGGAACGCTGTCAGCCAGCAAGGTGAAACCTGTGCTTTCTTGCATTTTTCTGCCACTTGCTCACAACTCTTTGAAATATTTTTGCGGCCCACAGGTTGAGAAATGCTGTAATAGAGCACAAGCCACCCAGAACTGTACACGTGGAGCACCTACCACTAAGGTTCTCTCTTCCATCCAGTCTAGCCTGTGATATTTATTACAAGAGCTGTATGGATACATGCATACTGTGGTTGGTCAGAAAAAAGTAGTTCTAGCTGGAGATCCCAGGTGAATTTTGCTCACAATAGTCTCCTAATGCCTTGCTGAACTGTGAACCAGGGAGGGCCAAAGCAAGTTTTTACCTGAGCCATCAGTGTCAATCTGGATCCCTACCACACGGATATAAGCATTTCGGATCCCCACACCCACGTTGTCTCTGCCTTTGTTCTTGGTCTGGCCAGATTTCTTGATAGAGTAAATGCCCATGATGGTAATTTTGTTCCCAGGGACAACTCTGTCACACAGATACCTTAGAGGAGAAACAGGAGGGCAAAGGAAGGTGATTTTTATGTAATAAAAGGATGAGAGCATCCCCTTCATCTCTCCTTCTCCCTGCCCAACCAAAATAAAGGCCTGGATATAGAACATGTTAAAGACTGTCACAAAGTGACAATGATTTTGTACAATCTACAACTGGTTTCGTAAACTTACACTGGTGTCTGAAGCATGCAGGAAGCACTATTACAGTACCTTGTCACTAGGGCTAAGTACACACATTCAAAAAGCCTAAGCCTGAACTGATTCAATCGTTGCAGGTTAGTCTAACCTATTCAGACTGAACCAATCTGCAAGTGAGTAGCAGGGATGCACTGAGAGATTTTTTGGGCTGATATCAACAGCCGATTTTTAACGAGCCATATTGGATAATACCAATCCGATTCCGATATGCAGCCCAGCAGTGTGGACAGAGACTGGCTGGTAAGTCTGTTGTGGGGGAAGGGGTGGAGGGAGGGAAGGGGCATGCAGGGGTATAGATTGAGGTCCCCATGGTGAGAGAGGGAGTGGGGCTGGCACTGGGACAGGGGCAGGTGCTGCCCAGCCAAGACAGAGTACAGGGAGGGAAGGCAGCTCCTGATGCTGCACACACACTGGGAGGGCACGGATGGGGGCGCGTGCTCCCAGATCTGTGCACGGGGCAGGGAAGGCTGCTGCTATGGGCTGGGGCCGGGGTGGTGCCAAGCTCTTCCTGGTGGGGGGCTGGGCCGGGCTATGCTCAGGGCTATGGTGAATTTTGGGGTGGCTCTACCACGCCCAGACCACCCCTCCAGCACTGCTGCTGCCCACCCTGATTGGAGCATGGCTCAGCCCCTGTTGGGAAGAGCCTGGCACTCCCTAGACCCAGCCCACAGCAGCAGCCCACCCTTGCCCTGCCTGCAGATCTGGGGGCACATGCCCCTCCGTGTCCTCCTGGGGTGCACACAGTGGCAGGAGCCCAGCAGCCTCAGGTGAAGGGGGGCAGGGAGCCAGTTTAATCTTCCATCTCAGGCACAGACCCGGGGACCCCAGCCAGGGTCTGCCTGGCTTTCTGCCCCACTGGCCACTCGCGTGATGGGGGATGTGACCAAAGCTGGCTGGCGTGGCTCCGCCATCTGCCCATCTCAACTGGGACTGCAGAGCTGAGCCAGGCCAGCCTGTGGGTACTGATGAGGGTGGGCATCTGGGCTAGGCCACAGAAGCAGGTTCTTTTTAGCTGGCTGTGGCTCAGGCTGGGGCTGTGGGAGCTGCATGCCCAGATTTCTTCCAGTTCCCTGCACCCAGGCCAAGCCGGACTGTCATGGAGCCGCAGCCAGCTGGGAAGGGGCATGCCCCTGAGGCCGGCCCAGCCCTTCTGCACCCACCCTCAACAGAGTCTGCAGCTGGCACCGCTCAACCCCGGGTGAGGAGGGCAGATAGTGGGGCCAGCCTGGGCTGGGCTGTGGGGTCAGGGCCCTTTCCAGCCAGCTGGGACTCCATGATAGCCTGGTCCTGCCTGGCACACATGGGCAGCAGCTGACTGGGCTATGGCATGGAGGCAACGCCACTGCAGCTGTGGGCGAGCACTTTGGTAGCCGGACTAGCTGCACAGGATGAGTCCTTCATGCCCACGACTGCCTGGGCTGGCTTGGAGGTGCAGGTGGACCCAAAGCCTAGCAGCCACCCATTACAGGGGCTTGTGTGCCTGCAGCCATTGCACACCTCAAGATGCCTCTGCAAGGTAGCTATACAAATATGGATCAATAAAAGATCCTAAATCCCTGCCCCCTCTCCAGAAGCTGGGTACAAGGGAAAGCCCACCAGATTCACTCAAACCCAGCTAAACCCATCATCTATGATGGCCACATTTTCTACTGCCCCTCCCTGAAATGACCCTTGAGAAAGGAGAGGGAGATGGGCTGCAGGATTACCTGTCACAATAGAGCTGCATGTGCCTGGGCATCTCCCCATGAGGCACAGCATCAGGAGATTCCTGGAGCTTCAGGACCTGGAAGTCCACACACTTGCATTTATCTGGCATGATGAAGTATGGATCCAGGGGACACCTCGGGCGCCCTGCTTGTTCCCTGAGCAGAGGGAGACAGTTAAGGAAAATCAGTCCCAGAAGCTAGTTAAGAGTCATTAGAACTCAGGGGACACTGCCAGCAAGTGGTCTTTAGCTTTGCTGCATGCAACGTGTATTGACTACGGAATCTGCTCTTGTTTATTCCAGCTTAATTAGTCTTAGCTAGGCAAGCAGAAATGTATAACTCAGGGTCCTATACCCCTTTCTAAAAGGGTCTCCTAATTGTGAGCTCCAAAAGCAAGCAGATTTGTAACTGAAGACGTCAACATGCTGTGAGACCAAGTCTGGTCTAGTGGCAAGAAGGGCTCACTGGAAGCCCCTATCTGTATCGCAGAAGTGCCTATAGGCCCCACAGGGCATGTCTACTCATGCCCCTGACTGTGCATGAGCCATTTTTGATGCTACTGCGCAGTAGTAGCAGCATCACGGTTAGCGCCTGCCGACACTATGTGTAGCGACATAGCATCTTGTGTAGACGTGCCCACAGAGACCAGTGCCCCATTGTATAAGCAGCACATGTACAGGTAGCGAGAGGGTCTGTTCCCCAAAGAGTCTGCAGCATAAGACAGAGATCAAGGGAAGGAGAATGAGAAACACAATAGAAGTCCGAGAAAGAGATGCCATGAGTCTGGACTTGCTGACACTTCAGGTAGAAATCATTGTGTTGGAAGGAACCTTAAGGGGGCTGATATATGGGAAAGCTTGCCAAAGAAGCCTACATATGTTTAATCTGGTTAAACAATAGTTAAGTAGAGACAGAAGTGTACGAGGCTGCAACACATATGAGAGAAGGTGCTCTTCATACTTCAAGAAAGCAGTCTGTCTTTTTCTTAAGGGAAAATACAAGTGAGATATTAGAATGAGAAAGGGTATCACAATATGACACACAGTAAAGGAAAAATCCTGCACTGATGGGAGACAGGGGAAGGTAATTTATTAGTTAAGTTATTTAACCAGGAATTTTATTTATATTCTCTTATACAACCTGCAAGCAACAAAAGGGGTCTGGAGTCAAAGTGATCAGAAATACTGGCAGTCCTAGCATCACTTTCCTGGTCCTCTGACACATCTAAATTTAGATGTCTTGTCATTTTAAACTACAAGTGCTCACAAAGACGGTCTATTTTACTTTAAACATTGGGCCATGCCAGGCTCTTGACTGGGTGACACAGAGTTCCTGATACCACATGTGAAACAAGCAAGAAAGCTTTCTGTGACACTGACTTGCTGAAGGAAGAAAGCCTGTGGGCAAATGTCCCATTTTAAGGCTGAACAAGAGTAATGACTATTCTTTAAGGTGGCTATTGTATCACCAAAGCACCTCAATACCCTAGTCATGGGTGAGGACCCTGCTAGGCAAGACAGTGTACGAACACAGACCAAAAAGGCGGGCCCCTGTCCCAAAGACCTTACAAGCTACATATAAGCCAAGACACATCAGGTAGACACAGACAAACAGGGAACAGAAGTATTTTGCCAGTTTTCCTTTGGAAAGAACTGGCAAGATCCTGTGGAGAGACCTGGAGATAGGAATGAGCCTAGGTGGTGAACAAGTGGCTGGGCTTGTGGTGTAAATTCAATTACACCGGATAAAATAGAGCTGCTTACACCAAGCAGATGGCAGACCTGAAACAGAGAGCACATGTATGTAGTGGACTAAGTCTTTCTGGTCATAGGATTTCTACCAGAAAGTCTGCCGAGGACTTCCCCTTTACAGTACAAGTAGGGAGTGTAGGAAAGGGAGGCTGGAGTGAGATGGGCCTGGGGGCTAGTAGGGTGGACCCCGGGGACAGCAAGATGGAAGAAAAGAAACAGAGAAGATCAACACACATAAGGCAATGAGGCGAGGCTTGAGAGAAGAAGCAGAGAGTCACCAGCATTGATGGAATGGAAGTCATGGATAGCATGATAGGTAAAAGGCAAATGAAATTAGGTGATTGTCAGAGAAGGTGTGTAACTCTGGCAATTACACTTTTGTTTCAACCCACACATTCAGCTCTGGTTTATAAATCAGCTGGGTTAGTCAGAGTCCTCAGACCCCCTACATGATAGCAGTTCCTCTGTGATCATGACTGGGGTCTCATTAGACCCCAGCACAGTGCACTATTCATGAAGCATTCATTGCTACCCAGGGAAACTCAGAGATAGGTGGAGGGTGGACCACCGGGTTTCTAACAAGTCCCCTCCTCCTCTCCTCCTGTACTCCAAAAAGGATCCCCCACCCGCTCCTCACCTCCCTCCAGTCCTTACGTATTGCACTTTCTGGGCAGGGCATAGCCTTCTAGCCCAGGCCGCACAGTGATGTTGTTGATGGTGTTATGGCAACTGCGGCACTGGATGGAAATCTTGGTGGCCTTGGCTCTCACGGGAGTTGATGCTATTATGATCCCAGGAATCTTCACCAGACGGGACATCTGGTCAGACTGAAGCAGAAAGACAGGGAGAGGAAGGTGAGAAATGTACCCCAGCACAGTGAGGAAGACCTGCAGACCTGACATGTGGGGAGTCAAGGATTATAGGCAGGTTGCTGTATGGGCAATATGGAGACAGCTACTCATTTCAGGGAGCTGAGGGATGCTGCCTTCCCACACCCACAAGAGGCAGTAACTCAGAACTACCTGCTGCTTTTAGTAAGAGGACACCATTCACAGGGGCTCTCTCTGAGGTTCCATTTACAAAGGAAAGTTAAGATAGCTGGACCTCAGTGTACACCACAAGTATCATTCTAACAATCGTGCTCCGTTGTGCCCTGCCTTCCCTCTCCCACCCCATTTTTAATATACTAGGGCTCAAAGCTGTGGCCTACATCTCAGGGAAGCAGCCATTTTCACTGTGCAAAAAAAGACAGGTGGCTTTGCCCAACCATTCACCAAAAAAGTAACTGAACTGCATCTTAAAAGAGAAGCTTTCAAGTGATAGCCCAGTCTCTTACTACTGTACTGGACACTGCACTGATAAAGACAGTGGTTAAGAAAGATATATAATTATCTCCAACAAATGAGTGTCTGCATTAGAATACCATCAATTGATACTCCTCTGTCACCAGAGCTACTTAGAGCTGGTGTACATGCACTCTTTGTATTATTTAACTACTTAAGTTAGGGATGCAATACTTTACTGAAAGTCACACTCATGCAGGGGTGCTCAACCTCTGGCCTGCAGCACTCTTTACATGTCAGGAAATTTGGCAGCAGGGGAGCAGTGGCAACAAAGACAGCCGCCCTTCTCCACTGCCAAGTTCCCAAACATTAAGGTCTGCACAGTGGCCTGGATCACACCCCTTTGCCCCAAAGTTGGATCAGGGCTGGACCACTCCCCCTCCCCCTCCCACTGTGGGACTGGGTTAAGTCCCATTCCCCTCCCACAGGGCTGAATTGAGGCACAGCTGGATGGAACCCTGCTGCAATTGTGCTGGACACTGTATCAGGACCACTGGCTGGATCCAGCCCAGGAAAGAAGCAGGCACTGTCCACCCAGCCCACTAGCCAAAAAGATTGAGCACCACTGCACTAGTGCAACCTCTAGCAAGCATGCAACTATAATTGTGTAATGATGTCTATGCATTGATAAAACTCATTAAAGTTAGAGGAATAAACTATACCACTATAAGCAACTTTCTGGTGGGTTAACTCTGTTCACATGAAGGGGTTGTACTACTTTAGCTAGATAAGTTTCACAGCAATACAGTAAAAGCAGCACAAAAACCACACGCGGGGTAACCCTAACACCGAGTCCCATCAATCATAGTAAGTCACAACTTGCAGTCACATCTGGTGCAGTTCTGCCTAGATGGACAGAGATGAACTTAACCTTGATTAGGCCAGCAACAACTAACAGCTCTCTCAACACACACACACATTTTGGACAAGTTCTGTCCTTAGTCTTCTTCCCACCTCACCATAGTGGGTGGATTTAACTCACCTTCAGGCTACGGATATTGGCAGCATGGGCATCTGACTTCAGCATGACCTGGATGTCTTGGAGGGTCTCCTCCCCTGATGGACGAGGACGGGTGACCTCATCGGCCACTTCTTTTGCTGCTTCTTCCAGCTGTTTAAGAAATAATACAGCTTATACTGACACACCACTCTGGTTAGCTAAATGGCTCGTGGCACACCAGCTCTTAGCTCTACATAAAATAGTCATTGGTGTGCTCCCTTCCACGGTATTTCCCATCCTTACCAGCTGTAGGTGCTCTGCAGGTTGCTTATACAGGTAGTCTGCCAGGTCCTCATCAAAGCTGGCCAGGTCCTCCATCTCCACCTCAATCCAGTACTGAGCCAGGTTGTAATGCCGTTTGAGCTCATCCCTGCAAGATGAGGTAGGAGTAAGGATTTGCAGGCAAAAAAGCACCAGGCAAATTTTCTTAAAGGCCTGCAACTGGGCAAGCCCAGAGCCAGGGAATTGTAACAGAAGAGAAACTATCGCACACAAAGTATTCAAAGTGGCCCTCCAGCTATGTAGAAAGCAGATGCAAAATGCTCTAAAGCAAGGGTGTCAAACATACAGCCTATGGACTGAATCCAGCTCATGGAGCCCTGCCATGTAGCCCCTGGGTCCAATTACACCAGGGGTGGGAAAAATGTGGCCTGCAGGCTGGATGCAGCCTGCCAGGCCATTCTATCCAGCCCAGAGAGCCCCTAAAAAATTTAGAAAATTAATATTAATCAGCCCCTGACTGCATGTCATGCAGACCTTGATGGCTTGCCAAAACTCAGTAAGCAGCCCCCAACCCAAAATAATTGCCCGCCCCTGAATTAGACTCACATGGGGCACTGTGTATGCCTGTGGTATGGGGCTGGTCTTCAGGCCTAGTCCTGCCCATGGCCTCCCATCCCCTCCCTCCCCTAGCATACCTGATCCAGTGGCTGCTCCAGCCAGTCTGGGACCCACAATGCACATGGGGCAAATCCCAGAGTGCCTGGAATGGATACTGCATGCAGCATACTCTGGCTGAAGTAACAGCCACACTGTATGCAACAGCCACTCTGCCTGGACTGCATTGCAGGTGGTGCCCACTACGGGATGCGTGCTGCACAGCTCCTGCTTCAGATAGTCTGCAACCTGTATGGCAACAGCACTCATGAGCACTGTGTGTAGCGCATATCCTGGACTGGCTGCAGCAGATGCTGCATATGGTGTAGTCCTGGCGCTGCTGGGAGAGGCACTGCATGAAGTGTGGTCACTGGTGGACTCCACAGCACACAGTGCCTCTTCTGGCTGCTCTGGGATTTCGAGCACGCACAGCCTAGGAACCAGACTGTGTGGAACAGCTGCTGGATCAGTATGCTGGGGAAAGGGAAAGGAAGGGGGACCCATGGACCCTATCTGGCCTGTGTGTAGGTCTGTGCCACTCATGTGGCCTGTGGGGCCGGGTAAGTTTGACACCCCTGCTCTACAGGTAGTCTTTTATGGCAGGAAAAGTAACGAGCCCTCTATGGTGAAAGCAAAAGGAATGGAAACTGCTGGACAGAGGTAACATCCATGTTAATACTTTTTCAATATGCACAAATGGCATTGGACAAGGGGCAGCTGTGGCCACAGTGGTTATCAGAGTTTAACATTAATGTGCACCAGCATCACACGGACCACAGCCAGGCAGTTTAAGTACGAACTACAGTATAACCTCATAAACCTGGATAGCAAAATCCAGAATTTTAAATCCTGCACTTTTTAAAACTCCTCTCCATCGGACAGTAGCAGCGGTCGGTCCCAGAGCAGCAGAGGGGGAAGCTTGCATATGGCGGCTGCCACCACCATCCACAATTCTGTGTCACGGCTCCGCGTGCGGCCGCTGCTCTGGGACTGCCTGTTCACAGATCCCAAAAGGCTTGGGCTGGAACCCCACGACTGATTTATACTAGAGACAGAATCGAACAGAACCCCGGGGATGACAGGCCTGAAACATGGCATTCAGATCTAGACCCGATTTTGCAGGGCAGGCCCTCAGGAAACAGCATAACCCAGAGGATGGGGTACCAGACAGGTTTATTTGCTATGCCAAGGGAAATGTGGCCCTAGGCCCACAAGGCAACTATAAGCCTCCCTTAATCAGGGAGGCCACTAGAGGCAATTGATTGCATGGGACAACTAAAGGCACAGGAGCATGGGTCCCAGGTTTGTAAGGAGCATCCCAAGGGGGAAGCGGAACCAGAGGGGAAGAGCCGGGCTCTATCTCTGGCTCCGCCACTAGCTCGACACCCAGTTCCTGGCAAAATGCTGGGCCTCTCCAGGCTTCAGCTTCCGCCTGGGTCCCAACAGGGATAAAGATATTCGGTCTCCTACGAAGAAGCTCTTTAGAAGGGGTGGACGAGAGGGCTCCCGAAGAGCTAGCCATGGCCCATGGGAGCACAGCAGGAAGAAAGCAAACAGTGGCAGAGAGCAAATGGGCCGGAGGGGCCATCAGAGGTGGGGGCCGCCCGCACCTGTACTTGAAGGTGAAGCCGGTGCGGTCCGTGCCCACGCGGTACTGCCGCAGGAACTCCTTGAAGCGCTTCTGCAGCTGGGACTTGCGGACCTGCCCCTCGTCCGTCGCCGGGTCGCCCCCAAAGCTGTCGCTGTAGTAGATGCCAGGGTCGTCGAAGCCGGACATGGTGGAGGCTGCTCCTGAGAGCCGGGCGGAAAGAGGGGACCATTAGCCTAGCATCCCGCGGTGCCTGCTCCCCGCCACCCTCCGCGCCGGGCCCCGCAAGCAGTCCCGCTGTCCCGGGTTAAGGACCCCTATCCCGGACCAGCCCCTCCCCCCGGAGCGGCGCCCACCCGCACCTCCGCTCGCCCCCAGGAACCGACCTGCGACGAGCACTGAGTTTTCGCGGCAAAACCAAAGTGACGTCACAATGGGGCGTTCTACGGCTCAAGCCCCTATTGGCCAGACACTAGCCCGCCCCCTCTGATTGGCCCAGACAGGTTCCTTCCATCCCTTTCCTCACGGGAAGCGCGCGGCTGGGTCGCCATGGTGGTGAGAGCGGATTGGTGGAGACGTCGAGGTCCCGCCCCTCTGCCCTCCCCTAGCTGGGGCTCAAAGCAGTTTGGCGGGAAAGGCGCGAAGGGAAGGGGGAGGGCATGGGCGCAAGATGGCGGCTGGACGAAACCATTCTGAGTGGGCAAAAGGGGGAGGAGGGAGGCAATCGCCTGGACGGAACTATTTTGGCCGGGGCCGGGGGGGAGAAGGAGAGAGCCAATGACCTGTGTGGCAGTGCCCAGAGAGGCCGTCTGTGACAGGCGGGTGGGGCTGTCTTATCTGGCCCCTTGGTGGGGACCCCGCAGTCCATACTGGGCCAGTATGGCCCATTCTTACACATCACAGTTAGTTAAGCAGACCTGCCTCCTCAGCAATGAGTGGGGTCACACGAAAAAGAAACCCTGAGCTGGGGGCATGCAAGACAAGCAGGCTCTGGCTCAGCCCCACTTTCCCTCCACACCTCCAGGGGCCCCTTTCATCCCCAAACTATATTATTATTATTATTATTATTATTAGTTTTTATTTATTTATGTTTGTTGCCAACTTGGGTATATAACCTACAAGACAAAATGAGGAGTTAAATAAACCCTCAGAAGGAGCAATGGTCTTAAGTTGCAGCAAGGGAGGTTTAGGTTAGGTAGTAGGAAAACCTCTCTCTCCAGGCGGATAGTAAAGCACTGGAACAGGTTACCCAGAGAGGTGGTGGACTCTCTATCCTTGGAGGTTGTTAAGACTCAGCTAGACAAAGCCTTGGCTGGGATGATCTAGTTGGGGCTGGTCCTGCTCTGAGCAGGGGGTTGGACTAGATACCCCCGAGGTCCCTTCCTACCCTCATATTCTGTGACTCAAAGTGTCACGGTCCAACTGGCTAAATGTCTCCCCTGGAAGCCAGCAACTCTTGAGTCTGAAGTGGTTGCGGCATCGATTTGACGTGAGAGCTTAGAAGGTTATTCAGCTTCCGTATGGGACTAATCTAAAATCTGAGAAGTTAGTGCTCAGCCTGACCTTGCCTAATTCATGGGGCTTTGGGTTAGGCCTTCTGTTGGTAACATGAGGATCACCATAGAAAAGATGCTGTCTCCTTTCTGGGGGGAAACACACATCTTTCTGCAGCTGCTTCTTTGTTTGCTGTATTTAGTGTCTTTCGAATCCAGATGCAGGGCACTCATCAACAGTGCACCATTTTCTGTACTTGGCCATGACTGCAGCTTGAGTTTTTATGCTGTCCACATCTGTGAAGGCTGGCTGCATAGCCACTTGAGCCAATCCAGAGCCTATTTGGCAGAGCCCACAGACAGCACAAGGGTTGAAAAGAGGTGGATGAGCAAGAGGGTTGATGACAGCCAACTATTTTGTTATCACTGATGAAAACCGTTCTTCCTAGTGTGATTCTGGATATATATGCTGGAAGCACCAAGGGCATCTTGATAACAGGTGAGCAGGGCCTATCACAGGGGGGGCCAGGAGGGCCATGTGGCCCGGGCCTCTCACTCACAGAGGGCCTCAAATTTAGACTTTTGACGTTATCTCCAAATGAGGTTATACATACAGACAGAGATTCACTGACAGGATTGAAAGAAGAAGACGTTCATCATACAGCTTTAAACTTGTGTCCCGTTACTGGGCCACATTGCCTGTAGTGCACTATGAATTAATTTTTTTTTAATATACCGGGAGCCTTAAAAAATGGAATTGGCCCAGGCCTCTCTCAACCTCTGAGAGGGCCTGCTGGTGAGCTGTAGGTGGATTGAAGAGATCAGTACAATAGCTGTTTGGTGTTGGCACAGATCTTTTCTACCAGCTCCAGAGCAGATTGCTTATGGCAATCGTGGGGTGGTGCTGTGCTGCTAAGCACTGGCGGCTATGATGGATACATGGGCCCCCAGGGATCTGAAACAACGCAGTCATGTGCACTTGGGTATCAGCACTGTAAAAATAAAACAGCACCAACCTGGAATCTTGTATTCTGTGGCTGAATGGCAGATGGCAAACGTGAACATCTAAAAGGTATATGTACTAATTGTCCACGTTAAGCCATTTGTTGAAAAGATTATTATTTGTCCTGATATTGTTTTAAAATTTTTAATATTTATCCTGACTTTTTTAAATATTTCTGAAAACTCAGATGCCAGTCCAGGGTCACACACTCATACACTAGATATGACTTAAGTTTCAGGTATTATCCATTAAGTAGCATGCTAGGTTCGTGGGTGGCAGGAGCACCATGAAGATGGAATACACACCTCACTATTTTGGTTGCCCTTAATTGAAGACACCACCCACTACAATATTTATGATGCAGATTGTCCAGGTCAACACTCAGCATCTATGCTTCAATTCTGAAGCAGGTATTGTCTTCATAAATAACCTTTTGTAAGTGGATGTACATTGGTATGGAGATTAAACAATGTGGATGAAAGCCCAGAGCCGCATGGTTCACCACTTGTTTTTTTTCATGTATTTGTCTTGTTCCTTGGGTGCCCTCTAAACTGCCTCTCATGAAGGACCAGTTCAGTAATGTCAACCACTTGCTGCAGAAGAACTCTGGCATCTTGACCAAGACACCAGTGTGCCTTTTGTCCCGGAGTGAAGGAATGGGTGGGAGATGGGGTAGAATATGTTGTTTACTTAGGGAGACTTGGGTGGCTAGTTTGTGGAAGCGTTCTATTTGTCGAGTTGAATTCATATAGCAATTTATTGTACTTAGAGGGAAGTTGTCAGGATTTTTGGACTGAGAGGCATGATGACTGGAACGCAAATGAATTGTGAACAACTAAATACCAGTTTAGT